GAGCCCTACATATCACACAAGATAAAGAAATAAAGAGGGTTTTGTTTTACAAACACGCGTTGAATCACATTGGCTGAAAAAAAACTAATGTGGAATTATCCCGAGTACGTCCGAGCTAGTTCTGTTGGATTTTATCTGAAATTATTTCCTTCTCTTTTATAATGATAAACAATTTGTCTTACTTTTATCGACTATACATATTCACATTCCCTATCCTAGAGCCTTAGTCTGGAAGATTTTAAATTAGGGCTGTTTCATGGGGAAAAAAATCCTCTTGTCAGCAGGTGCAATGACATCATTTTTTGGAGGGGGATAATCATGATGAAAATGTCAGGTGATTCAATTGCATTTTGTACTTTTATTCGCTACCATGTCCCACATAGATGTGTCCATTTGCAGGTGTTGTGGGGAAACTTGTGTCAGCATGTTACTTTCGTGCCATTCCCACTCCTCATTCCACAAGTTGCGCTGGTGACAGGTGACCGATGATGAAGCCACCGGGGCAAGAAATTAAAAAGCACAGAGGCGCGAAAAAAGAAGGCAGCGAGAGAGGAGGGACATGTATTGTTATTAGAATATGACAGACATGGCAACACTTGCAGTTTTGAACCTTTTAAACTCTAATAACCCTTCACTTGACCAATGACAAACTGGTCAGCAGTAAGCACTGTGGATGTGACAGTAAGTACTTTGCAGTCCCGGTTCCTGTTCTCACTCATAAATATTGAACTGGAAATCAAATTATGTCTCATGTATATTTCATTATTCTAATTGTTGAATGATACCGAGAGAAAAAAGAGACCTCAGGGATCCAACATGCTCATTAAAAAAAATCTCAGTGGGAGAATTTGACTGCTTCTAATGTAAATGTCGTCTGTTTGACAGGTGTGCACAGAGGGAAAGCAAGATCAGTTTAACTAATTGAAAGGGAATATTCAGAGGAGAAAAGATAGCTAATAACCCTTCTTAAAATATTCATTTTCTTCTAATATCTGTCCCTTTGTCCGCAATTTTTCTCTACATAGCATACTCTTCATGTGTTTTATTTCAATAATTCATTTAAACCAGGAAGTGCCATTGAGATAAAGTGGCCCTTCGATGTGAAGAGCATTTTTATGTTATTACGTATATCTGTCAGAATGAATCATGGGCACCAGCAGGGCCCCCTACAAATCACCTTTGCTTGCTTGCGTAGCTTGTTTAATTACACCTCATAAATTCACTGTGTGCATTTTTATCATTGCTGTACATGCTTGTAAACATGTATGCTCACAGGCCAAACAAAACCAAACCTGCTGCCTTCCATTACCTGCTTTATTAGGAGTGAGGGATACTTACATTTTGTGTGTCAGAGGAGAGGGCCCTCTGGTGATTGGAATTAATTATCTTGAGTCTGGGTCAAAATACTTTTAAAGGGATAGGTTATTGTTCTTGCAGAACACACACACCCACCCACACACACCCTAAATGTGTCCTTGTGAGCAGCTCTCCAGCAGCCAACGTGGGCCACCTTGTGTTCAAGTTAACTCCACGATTCCATTACTGTAGCAGCAGTATTGTTTGCTAAAATAAACAGAAAGGCTTTTAAAAAAAAGGCTTTAAATAGTATTTGAGTGTCAGGGTAAATATAGAGGAGTTTACCATGAAATCATGAACCTAAATGTTATCCCTCAAACATGTCAAAGGAACTGATGTAATTGAACTTTATAAGCTCCTGACTGACAACATTATGTGTACCTGCAGAACAGGGGGGCATTGAGATAAAAATAATATATAAAAGAGATAGGCAAAAATAAATTATTTGATATTACTAATTACGAGCAGATTTAACATTTGGGCTACATGCCAAAAAGCTGTATTGAACTCCTAGCACAGCTTGTTTCACTGAACACCCATTTGGGTACTTTTAAACACCCATTTTATAACCCAGGGCAGTGGCTTTTACAGTCAGTTGCACTTTAATTCTTGAATTTTCTTTTCTTTCCACATTCCATGAAGTTTGTTTGTTTATTTAAAAATTATTCCCAGACTTTATGTGACCTCTTTAGACCCAAGTTGCAGTACTGAGGGAGGAATTTTATTTTATTTTTTCCTTCAGTTTCATCATTCTAAGTTTCTCAGTGAACACAGGGACATGTAACATCTAGAGAAACATACTAATCTTAACTAAAAGCTGGTTTATAAATCATTTCTATGAACCACAAACAGGGTTACAACCTCAAGAACTTAAATCAGAAAGTAAACAATCTTACTTTTTTATCTACTGAAGGCAGAGATCTCAGTTTCCAAAATCTAAGTTTTGTCACAATCAACCCACTCTACCAGATGCAAAAAAGAGAACAGAATAATCCCTCATGTTTGAAAAACATAATAAAAAACTTTCTTACAATAGTAATTATTTATTTTTTTGTCCAAATCCTTCCAGCTTTTTTTTAGAGGCTGCTCTGTAAACAAAAAAATCATGTGCAAAAAAAAGAATTGCAAAACAGACGAGACCAATCAAACCGTTTATTGAACATGTGCAAGAGGAAGAGGCACGGAGTCTGAAATTGTTGTGAAGGGAAATGATGCTTACAGTGGTAGTTAAGGGTCAGCCGTTCACAGTGGGTGGTCCATCATAGGGGGATAGTATCAAGTCTGTCACCAGACAGTCTTAACAAAAGCAGACACAAGGTAAAAGGGTCGCCCCCATGGGGAATGACTGAATTAACTCTACAACCATAAGTCAGACAGACTTGAAATGGTTGCCTATCAGTGGTGATAGAATGAACCCTCTAAACGATAGGCCACACTAGTAAATACTTATGGGATTCCTTCAGTACATAGACTGTATTTACCTACAGTATGTACTATGTACCTATGTCCGTTTGTTCCCTGTCTGTGTTAGTCACAACTAGTGATCAGTTAGTTCAAAACACCTTCATCTCTTACCATCAGGTGATTAGTAGAGCTAATGTAGAAGTTTTAGGCATAACTTGATTTTTCAAGCAAAACGAGGGCCATGTGTTAAATTTGGCAAATCCAATCTAGAACTAGAGCTCTGAGGAAAGCTGGTGGTCATTTAAAGCAGTAGCACACTGGGCATCCACGCTCAGATGCTTTACACATCAGACCATTGCATGGGTGGTTGGTTTCGCTGGTTAGATTACATGCGGTTGAACTTGAATAGTATCCAGAATAGAGTGTGTACCACAGAGGAAGCATTTGCATTAACTGAGGACACGCCAATGCCATCAGTGCACCTATGCCAACACCCACATCTACACCAACCATCATGCCATGTCGCTAATGAACAGAAAGAAAATGAAAATATGCTCCAGTTGGAGTCAAAAACACCTATTTTTTGTCAATTATTAACATTCTTTGAAATCCAGAGGTGGGTATTTTAAAGGAATTTTCAACTTGTTTTTTTAGAAATGTAATTGAATTTAGTTTTTTGTCTGTTAAAAAAGAACACAAGAAATCGCCCTTTTTTGTAGGCAGTGCCAAAACGTGCCAAACTGTACCAAACAATAAAATGCCAGAGTCTGTCATTAATAAAACTTCTTTAACTTTGGATGTAGGATTTTCTAATAGTCTTTAGCATTTATGTTATATCTCTCAAAGATTTTAAAGCTAAAACATTTCAGCTAGGTAAAGCACAATTATATAGCGCAATTCAGTACATGGACATTTGAAAGTGTTTTTCTTTAGGATTGCCTTCGACTATTCTAGTTAAATAGTTCAACTGAAACATCATTAGTTCAACTTTTTTATTGTTTTTTAGTCCAACTGTTTTTAATTTTTTTTTTGTTTCTGCATTTTTTTTCCCTACTTGCTTTGATTCTGTTTTATTTTCCTATATTTTAATCATGTAAAGCACTTTGCATTTTCTTTGTACTGAATTGTGCTATACAAATAAATTTGCCTTGCCTTGCCTTACAAGAATAAGATAATAAAATAGAAGAAAAATAAAAATAGGATGAAAGCAAATAAAGTAAAATAAAAAAAAAATGACCACCATCTGATGATAAGGTAGTCTTCTGATGGAATCTACTAAGTGTTAGTTTTATTTTTATACCAAGCTCATTTAGTGGCATGTTATTATTAAACACAAACTTCCTGAGAACTGCTTGGGGTTTAAGAGGCTAAAAAAAAACAATTTGTTTTATGATACTGTATATATCAGGTAATGTGGCTTTTGCAGCCTTCATTAACCTTATTGTTGATGTCTCTTATTTATCTAAAAAAAAAGAAAAGAAAAAACAACATTCTACTCTGTCATCCAATAATGAACAGAGTTAGGTGGAAAATTGTGCTTCCTTCATTTAGCTACACATGTAATATTAAGCTTGGTCTACCAAGGGTGTTGATCGCATAACAAGTTTGTGTTTCAGTGAAAGCAAACTTTTCACTGACATGTGCTGCACTCTGCTTCTCAACACATCAGACTTTGCCATGTAAAGTACAGCTAGATAAAAAACCAACAACACATGCAGTTCTGCGTCCTTCCCTCCCCTCTTCAGCCGCGTTCAAAGACGAAGGAGTTGCTATGGTTATGGGAACATTTGACTACACTTAAACCTCACCCTCTACCTTCCTCATTAAAATTGACCTTGGTGATATTATTTGATAACTACACCAGATGGTTGGGCAGGGTACCTCAAATCAGCCTGTGTGAAATGAACAAGTGAGATTAAAGTCAGATTAATCATTTCAGACTGCTACATTCTTTAACACCAAGTTTTCCGGTGTTGCACTTATCAGACTTAAGTTTAATTATTCAACCTATGCAATGGTTGTTTAAAAAAATCTTTATTGCCATCATTGGCCTGTTTTTTCCTGGTCAGTTTTTTTAACAAACCCTCCCTAAATGTATATCTTTGCTTTTATTGTTAAAACAGTGGCTGTAACAATACACCCTTTAACAGGAAAAATCAACTAATTGCGAGATTTCTGTTTAAAAAGCCTAAAAGCACTCATAGATATGATGTTTGACTCCACTTATCTTCTCCTTGCAGATGCAACAACCGTACCCAGTGTGCTGTGGTAGCAGGACCGGATGTTTTCCCTGATCCCTGTCCGGGGACATATAAATACCTGGAAGTTCAGTATGAGTGTGTTCCCTACAGTAAGTAGCAAAATCATTATTTATATATATATATATATATATATATATATATATATATATATATATATATATATATATATATATATATATATATATATATATATATATATATATATATATATATATATATATATATATATATATATATATACCATCATAGAGAGGTATATCTATTTTAACTGTGTTTTAGTGAAATACTCTCCGTGTATTTTTCTTTACTAGTGGAAAATCCAATGTACAAAATATATATTGTACATTGGATATTTAAGTACAATAAAATAAATATTTTTATATAAATATTTCTTTTACCTTGCACAGTCAGTGAAATTTAATATTGTTAGTTGTGATAGAGGGACTTAATGGGATAACAGCTGAAATGCTGATCGTTAATAGATGAAGAAAAATTTTCGGAGTGTTTTGTTTGCTATTGCTTTAAAAGTGCATTAAATGCAGTGTGTTCTCACACTGATAAGTGAATAGTGGCAAATTATCTGTTTTTATAAACAACAAAAATAACCAGTATTATAATTTGACGCAATGAAGCATCCTTTAATTTTTTTTTTCTTTTTTTAACTCTAATATTATTTTTTTATTTCAGATGTATTATTAGTTGTTTCAGTTAAAAGTACAATAATTTACACATGCTCTCATTAAAACTAGTAGATTAAGTTTATAGCAGAAGGTAAGATGTCTTCCGTCCGAAAGAATATAAGATGTGAACAGAAATCCGAGACAAAGTGGACATCTGGTTAATGACCATGATGCTGTTACAATAGTTTGGGTTTTTTTTTGTTTTTTTTCCATCAAGATTTCCTAAAAATATATCCTAAATCTGGGTTAACCCTCCAAGCTTAATGAATGCAGAGGGGATCAGCATGGAGACTTAGCGGATTAAAGATATCTTTTTGTCCTTGATGTTTATTTAAAACTCTTTTGGTAAGGGGGTTTTTGTCCGTGAGCAGCAGCAAAATGCTTTCTCTGCATCCGTTTTCACCAGAAAGCTAAATCTTGTAATTTCCCCATATGTGCTGCTGCTCTCTGGTTACTCTTCTAACACAACAGCTGCTTATTAGAACTTATTCAGCTGGTTTTTTTGTTGTTTTTTTTTTTCATATTTTTTTTCACTTCGAGGCGTCTACTGTACACAAATTTATATTACACTGATGCTCTATTATCATACCCTTGTCAAAAGCCTGCTTTTTGGGACATAGAAATAAAACAAAGTACTATAAATAATTTAAAATCTTTCCCATGTATAATGTCACATATTGTTAAAACGTGTCAGTTAACCAAGCGAGTAGGAAAATGCTTGAGTCTTTACACAATTAAACAAATATTTTGTTCAACCAGCATTTGATTAGGTGCTCGGACATTATAATTCCAATTTGTTCTCCTTAAAGTTCTCCAAATCCATCAGAATACAAAACCATCTCCTATCCAAAGCACTAATCTGGCTCCTCCACACATTTTCTGCTCAATTAGGTGTAGATTCTGTTTTTTTTTTTTTTGCTAAAGCTTAAAGTTTTATTTTTGAAATAATCTGATAATTTGACATTGATGTTTGCTCAATGCGGTGCTTCCTTTCCCGACATAACAGACAAGTATTTGGAACTCTTTATAACATTATCTACTTTGCCAAAGTGCCTTAATCTGAGGAAAAGTAATCCTAAGACACAATGCAGCCAGCACTGTTTTTTATTTTCTTAAAAGTTGTTTTCGAGGTCATGAGCTGTGTTCTTGGTTTCTCTTTTACTTATAAATTAGTAACCCTAATTTGTTGTCTAATAAACTACCTTCACGTTAATTTTTAAGATGACTGTCAAGTGGTAACATTCATCTCAGCTGTACATTTAAATAAAAAGTGCACATATTACTAATGATAGAAATTTATTTCTAGTAGAGCTGGTTTGTTTCAGATTAAACCAAGTTATATAAAACTGCGAAAAGAGTAGATGCTAAAATTTGATTGAACAAAAATTAGTTTAAAGGTGTTGACACTCAAGCAACCAGCTTGTAAAAGGAAACACTGTGAAGAAAATGACTGATTAAAAAAAAGATAAAGATAAGTTTACTTCAGGAAATTATTTCTTAGAAGGCTAGAACTGACATTACCGTGCACGAGTTTAATTTTAAATGTATTATAGTCCTCAGTGCTTTATATAACGTGATTGATTATTACAACTTTACTGATTTTATTACAATTTGGAATGTGTGTGCTTTTGCAAGGGGCCTTAGAGGTCTTTGATCCTGGTCCTTAGGATCCACTGCCCTGCTTGCTGCATCCCTCATTCAAACGGATTCCTTCATCTGTGCATTCTCCATTCCATCACAAATAGAAGCTCTTCAAGTCAGTGTGATCATTTCCACTGACTGTTACACTAGAGCTTGATGCACAGCTCCACTCTTTCATCCATCAGATGTATGAATCAAGTCTATTTGTGACCAATGATGGAGCAAAATGCGTCAATCTCTACAAAACAGATGAGCCACATAGGATCAGACAATGGGAAAGTGAAGCAGAGCCAGTAAATTTAAAAATAAGAGGCCATTAATATGGATCCTGCAACCACTGAATAGGGACTGTTGGATGGTGACATTTTGCAGTGGATGAAAGAGACAAACACGTGAAGTATATCTCTGCTTCTTCACATCTGCATCAAATGATTGCATGACCACTTAGCAACTAAAGGGATACAGTTGCCTTTTAATCAATCATGTATCTAAATCAGCTGTGTGGAGGCAGGGAAGAACCTAAAACATTCAGGACATGTGGGTCTGAGGAGCAGGATAGAATTGGAGACCCCTGCTTTATTGCATGTAGTGGCCAAAAACCTCGGTCTTTCTGGCAGATATAAGTGAAAATTATTTTCTGTGGTTTTGAAGCAAACATTGTTACCTCTAATTGGCATATGCTGCTTTTGCATATTTCAGACAAACTGCACAGATATCGCCTATGGCAACTAAGAAGTAAGGTGGTTGGATATTGGAATTAATACTCAGAGGCCAACTACAGATTAAGTTACATGCAAAAAATACAGTACCGGTAGCTTATACTTTTGTTGTTTTTTTTGTTTTGGTCTTTTTTTTGCCATTTTTTTCGGCCCTGACTTTTTTTAAGTCATGGCCGGTTTATCTCTGACTTTCTTTTTTATAATCACAGCATACAGTAGCCTTGTCCGACCGTTTTTCATAGGTAACAAGAACTGTCAGAGAAAACAACAAATTTTGATAGTATGCATGTGATATTATCTATTGCAATACATACAGAGTCCCTTGTCAGGGGGCCAAAGCTCCAAGTCCATGTAGCTCAGCAGTCTTTGTCAAATTCATTTTATTCAGAAGGATTCATAATCTGTCCAAGGCTCAAGACCAGTAATTTGTTTTGTCTTGGCATTCTTCAGCAACAAGACTGCAGCGCGTGCTGGAGGCACACACTGACACATGTCTCTTTACATGATGCACCGTGGCACTCCTGATATGGCCAAGATACGGTCAGAGCTAATTAACCAGACTGAGTCATTAGGAGGAAATTTTGAGCTGATACAAAAAAATCCTTGAGTTATTTCCATCACTACACAAGTCAGGATGGGGCAGGATAGACAGTTTTTACGCACAAACTCAAAAAAAAAAGTTATTCTAAATAATTTGCCTTTTGATAAAATATAGAAAATAGACCAGAGTTTTTCATTCACTATTTTTTTTACTATTTTTTATTCTCTATCTTCATGAAGGATTGGGTAATAGCAATCATGCCCTTCACTCATTTCTGCACACTGATTCTCAGCTAACTGAAAACTCTTGAACTATCAGTCACAAGAAAGACATATTTGCCACTATATGAATGCTTTCAGTTGAAAAAAAAAATGCAGACAGTCATACTTCAGTATTGAAACCCAGGGAGATCCACTCATCTTTATTATGATACTAACACTGCTTTTAAATTACTTGCCTGTTAAGCATCTACCTACAGACTGGTCATCAAAGTAGGTTGCTTGAGTATTTGACAGGCTAACATGCTATTTACTTAGAGAGCTGTACAGTAAAAAAGAAAAAAAACAATTGAAAACTGCTACTAGCAAATGTACCAGCTGTCAATTTCAAAATAAATAAAAGTTTCAGATAATATTATAATCTATTGCTATTACTGTGTCTATTAAAACACTGTTGGATCTTGTTAACAGTTCCACTAATTTTTTATTTGTGTATTATGTGTATTTATTGTTGTGTTTTACTTGTTTTCACACTGTAAAACTCATGTTTCAGCCCATGTGTAAACCAGGCTGACTTATTGGAAAGACATTTTAACTTATTTAAAGAAACAAAATCCTCCTTCAGTCTTCACAATTGCAGACACTTTGCCAATCCTCATCTCACGGCCATCTACAGCCTTGGCATCACAGTCCATGCAGACGGCCAAGGTGATCTCCCACACTGAAGCATTCAATTATGTCTAGCTAAACGGCTCTTGCCTAGCGTCTAGAATGACCGGCAGATTAAATAAGAGGACTATCAGAGCCCTCTCTGGAGCAGATGGAAACACAACCTGATACCTGCTTAATGCCCCGCCAAGCGCGCATGCACACACATCTGCTTCACGCCCATTTGAGCATTAGAGTTCTTTGGGCTTTCAGCCTTCTTTCACTCATTCTTGACTTGTCCAAGAATGAGTGCGAAAAAAGCTGGACAGCAAACTGACTTGTTTTTAAAGAATTGGTTACTGCAAAGATCTGCAGATTGAGATCAATGGGAAATGAGTTACAAGTTGATCGGATGATTAGTGGGTGAGTGTGGGGTAAAATTTCTCTCTGCAAAAATAGGAGGCATCTATTTCAAAGTCATTAGAGAGCCCAGCTGACAGATGGAGGGACGGGGTGAGGGAGCTAAAGAAACGAGTCAAGAAAGGGGCTGTGAAGGAAAGACTGTGTGTTAGTATCTTCAGCTGTCCGTCAAAATGTGCAGTCTGGATCAGGTAGCATCGTGAATTAATTCATTGCTCCTGT